CTACCAGTAATACTTAAGATGTATACACGATGGACGACTGGCCAGGTAGCCAGGTATGCAGTACGTCTGAGTCACAAATACTGCTCTGAGTAAGATGCAGTCAAAATCAGGTTTATTCAAATGAAAGATTTTCCAGCTTGTCCATAGACAGTTCGCACCACCAACACCTCAGCAGTGGAATAAAACTTTCTGACCGGGTCTTCCTTATATGACGTGTAATATCTGGCGTTTTTTTATATGGTTAATGATCAAGCTCCATTTCCATGCCATCAGCCATGATTGCAATGTTAAAAGGTAGAGTCTACAGCAGCTGTATGACAAGCTACCGATTCATAAACTGAGGAAGGAAGAATGGCGAGTGACCTGACCGGGACTCGAACCTAGATCCTGTTGGTTCTGAGCTTGACGCTCCATACTTTCTGAGAAACTCCAGTCTACACTTCAATAAAAGAGAACGCGAACATTCACTTGAACGAAAACTTTTCCGTGCTTTTTTCCATAGAGTTTACCTCAAGTTCTATTAATAAACCGATTTAACTACGTCTATTCCATGAAAACGGATGTTAAAGAGAAACACTTAGTCGTCTCGTCACCTTCCGCTTTCTGTGAAAGGCCGTTCTGGGCCACACAAAACCGAAAGCCAATTTTTTTCTAAACGTGTTTATGTTGAAGCAGTGCAAAATACTGTTTATCTATAGACAGCACAACTACTTTGATCAATTTGATGATTGACTCATACGGATGTTCCGCCCCGTATCTCGAGGAACTATTTCAAGGCAGAAAGGCGAGAGAGCTTAAGAAGTCTTTCCTTCCTATCACAGTGGTTCGTACGTTCAGAGCCAGGAGAGTTCACCCACTTCTCTACCTTTAAGAATGCGCTGAGATACCAGCCGAAACGTTGGTACTTGCCAATCATCTGATTGACCAAATTATCTATGCAGTGTTTAAATATACCCTGTTTGGTGCTGTTTTCGTTATGACTATCAACGCACGAACCAAATACTAGCCCATGAAATGGAATAATCCAGTTCTTGTCAGTTGATGTGTCTGTAAAACTGACAAGGCAGCACCGTGTGGTCAATTAAGTCTAAACTTATTTCTCTGTAACATCATTTTTGTACTCGCAGCAGATTCACTCTTGGTAGGCTCCGGATCAATGGTTATTGCAGATCTTGCTTTGCAGCGATCTATATTTTGCTAAAACGTTGCTCTGTTATAAGCTATATTTCATTCCTATATGCATCACAGTAATTTGATTTAGGACCAATATTTTACTCATCGATATTGATGTTAGTTTATCTATTTTTTTCTGTTGTCTGAAAATTGAATTTCTAAATTCGTGTCTCGAGCAATTTCTTCTCGTTTCTTCTTTATCTAGATCTGACCCAAGCAGCTGGAAACTCGTAACGTTACTTCGGTTCAATGTTTTGCGTTTCTGACAAAGATTTCCGTTTTTGTATTTATCACATCAACAAAATCATTATCCACCGATAGCAGATCTCATTTCTGCTTCTTCAAGCATATGACGCGCTTCCACCAGCTTTTGGGAACCATGTTTAATTTCCCACGTTAGTAGTTGACAACAAAATGAGGTACCATGGCCTCCTATGAGGCACTTAAAGCATGGCAATCATCCGCGCCCCTGAGTACCTATGATAACATGAGAATGTTGCCGTTCCTAATGTGTTCCTGCGATCTTGTCCTCACTGCTGTTGGAAACTATTCGGTCATCATGCGAGTATTTATATAAGAATAGCCATTTCTCGACTGTGCAGTACAGTCTGTCTGAGGCAGCGACGTGGAGATGTAGGTTGATAGTAAATGGCATTCGCTTCCAACTCGAGTAATCAATAGGCTTTTAGTATGTAATGTGTCAGAGGGCTGCGAACCCTCATGCGTTATGACAAAACCGATAAATGAGCCGCCGTACTTTGCGCTTCTCTCGACTAGTTCCCTCCGCGGTTCTTATTCGACCAAAGAGAAGTTACTAAGAGACCCATGAAAGGGTCACCATCTGAAAAACCGACCGGAGCTTCCCTTGCCGCTTGCACCTTCAATTTAGAACACTGAAAATGGAACGAATGTGAAATCAACTAAGGAAGGAAAGAAAGGACAGGGATGGCCTGGGACATTCTTCACCTCTGCGAGACACGACGGAGGAAGGAAATAAATGGTATCTGGAAAGGAAAATGCTCGATTTGGCCAGGACTAAGAGTGAACATGAAGAACATAGAATGAACAGATTTGTTATTAGCAAAAGCTGGCTCCCCCACAATTGTCTCCTGCCATGTGAAGTCATCAAGACTGGACGTGCTGTGCTTCCAGCTGAACAAGAAGACCACCTTGAATGTGGCCTAAATCCATGCTCCTACAAGTACATAAGTACACTAACAAGGAGG